TGAGAGAAACACAGCAGCAATAAAGCAAGATGATCATCAAAAACCTCTTGAGTTGATTTCATAACCAGCAGATGGAGACGTTTGTCCACATTATTCATCTCAAAACTTCAACGTAGTTTTAAATTCATCAAACATGAGTATGACATTTTCATGTATTCAGACGTTTTTATTTGTAACAGATCTGTATAAAGTATATTTAATTATTGGAATAGTTAAATATATAAAAATAATTGCAATTTACAAAATAATACTTTTTTATATTATTACATATTACATTTTTTTTTCAAGAATATTTTTATAATTTGATTATTGGATTTTATTTCTAACTCTAAAACCCACTTGTCTACAATTATATATTAGAACATTTATTAGAACATTTCAACCAGATGTAAATTTCTAACAAATATATTTTAATTAAATATATTAAACGTCATTGTATAAAATTATCAATGTATTTTTTTCTCTCTACCCAATATGAAAATATTAGAGAAACATTTTCATCTAGACGTAAATTTATAAACTGTTCATATTTCATATTGTCATAATGAATACATTTGATCATATCAAATAATTACATAATTTGAAATAATTAAATATATAAAAAATAATTGTACAGAACTTAAAAAAGAATATATATTTTTTATTATATTTTATTGTATTACATATTTTATTATAATATATATATTAGAAAATATACTTTAATTTTATATACAGTCAAACCAACATTTATTCAGACACCTTCAACATTTCTCACATTATCATTTGCTATAGTTTAGAAAACAAATGGTAATAAAATATGACAAGAACTCAAGAGTTAAACTGTGTCTGACCAAATTCATCTTGATAATGTTAATAACTTTGATAGAAAGTTATGTAATGAATTCGACTGAATAGCTGTCAGCTGTTAAATTTAAGCACACAATCAGATAATACCAGTTTAGCTCAACTAATTACCAAGCAATGCTTACTTTTGTTCAGTCTGTGGTGGAAAAAGATCGCATTAGCAATCAAAGAAAAAACACTTAAGCAACACATGCTCAGGTCAAAGTGTCTAAATAACTTTTGGTCCCAAATTTTACTGGTAGTCCACTGTATGAAGATTTTATGGGTATAATATGTCACAGTTTACTTTATTTTGCTATCCTCACTTACATAAATGAACTATAGTGTCCTGCATCAAAAATGATATCTGCTGTCTGAATAATTTTTGGTTTGACTGTATATAGGATATTTATTTCAATATAAAAATGTATTCTATTAAATACTATAAAAATGTTTTTTATTCATTTGATTACGCTCTCTCTATACAGTATGTACACACTATAATATATATAAAACACACACACACTAAACCATTAGGTGAGCTCTCACTACTAAAGTGATGACGAAGTGTCAGGTACACACATCCGGACAAAACCATCTTAAGTAAATCAACATCTTTTATTCAGTAATACCATATATAATGCAATTGCATATCTTTGGCGAAAATAAATTTTATAAACATTTTATTAACAGAGGTTAGCGTACAAAAAATGAGGGGTTTGTCTGTCTAGCAGATCTAGATCAAACTCATACTGAGGGGCAGAGAGTCATGAGAACACAGATCAGATTTATGTACATCATTCACACACTCCATAGTCTGCAGAAGACCACATGAGGAGACGAACGATTCATTCACAGATACATCTCCACCTCTTGAGTTCAGTTTCACAGGAATATCTATCATTGGACCCTTGAGAATGAAGAAGCAGTGCATCATGGGACGGCGAGCGGATGGTCACGTAGCAGTGCAGATTAACAATGGCAGTTTACAAAAACACAATTTCAAGAATTGCAATTTCACATACACTCGTGTTAAAAATGACATTTTAAGACGTTACATTTGGGGTCGATATTTTCCCAGAATTCCCAGATTTCATCTTGCTTCAAGGGTGAATCTCACGAATACATGTCACGATCATCTTTCAATCAATAGAACTCAAATTAGAAAAAAAACAAAAACTCAAGTTAATAGAAGGGAAAAAAATAAAACAAATAGTATCCATCCATCCATCTATCTATCCATCCATCTATCCACCCATCCATCTATCCATCCATCCACCTATCCATCCATCTATCCATCCATCCATCCATCCATCCATCCACCCATCTACACACACAGACGTATTCTTTATATGCATAAAAAAATTTAAAATTTTTATAAAATGTACAATATTAAAACAATGTCAAATAGCAAAAAAAAAAGAAAAGAAACATTCCTAATTTTAAGTCAAATATAATTGCTTCTTTCTTTCTTTCTTCATTTGTATTTGAGGTGAAAAGAAATCTTATTTTCTTGACAGGTTTGGTGAGATTCACCCTCACTGGGTCTGGGCAGCTTTATTAGTTAATAGTCAATACTTCTTAACCTGATAAACAAAAACAGAAATAGAAAGGCAGGATTAGTAAAGCAGTCTTGGCAGTGATATTTTGGCACCAGAGGAGCAAACACAGGTTTTGTAGACACTGATGATGTTTTCTAGAAAAAGACGACAATGTGGGCTCCAGATGAAATGAAGAATGGAGCAGCTCGTGAACAGCCAGCCGTTTATTCTTCATGTTTGAAAAAGAAACATTCCTAATTTTAAGTCAAATATAATTGCTTCTTTCTTTCTTTCTTCATTTGTATTTGAGGTGAAAAGAAATCTTATTTTCTTGACAGGTTTGGTGAGATTCACCCTCACTGGGTCTGGGCAGCTTTATTAGTTAATAGTCAATACTTCTTAACCTGATAAACAAAAACAGAAATAGAAAGGCAGGATTAGTAAAGCAGTCTTGGCAGTGATATTTTGGCACCAGAGGAGCAAACACAGGTTTTGTAGACACTGATGATGTTTTCTAGAAAAAGACGACATAATGTGGGCTGCAGATGAAATGAAGAATGGAGCAGCTCGTGAACAGCCAGCCGTTTATTCTTCATGTTTGAGGCAGTGATTCTGGTGTTTTGGCACAGGTCCTGCATGTATAGACCGAGGGTCAAATGAGGAAAAACAACAAAAACTGCTGACCAAACTTCATTCTGCACCGCAGCACAGTATGCGTCCTCTACTAACATACAGCATGAATAAATAATCAGATTTCATGTACCTGTGCTATCAGGATTTTTTTGTATATGTGGCAGTAATTCAGTAGTTTCTCATTAAAGCTTTAGTGGATTATATTTCACCCCAAAATAATAATACAATTACATCCCATTATTATAACTACATTTTGATGTTTGAGCTTTAAATTTGCTTGTATATCAACTTTTATTTTTTTAACCTTACTACGGTTACAAATACTGTAATACTTTTTTTATTTTTATTAAAATCATCGTAAATTGGAGATGGTATAACAAATACTACCATGATTTGCAATTAACAATTATTTGTTTTCACATTAAATTAATTTGATTTTAAATTAAAATTAAGAAATTTTTTAAAGTGCCATTTTCCCCAGAATTCAGTCATTTGAAGGGGAAAAATGCTTAAATTGTCACGAAAACAATGTTGTCATTTAAAAAAAAAAAATCTCAATCTTCATTTACTTTATGCAAAATATAATTTCTCATTTTTCTTTTTCATTTTGAGGTGAAATATGAGCTTTTCTTTAGTGGTTTCATGCGATTCATTTCACGCTCATATGAACATGCATCTCTACATCTACACCCACGGTCTCGAGTTCCTCCAGCTTTAAATGGTTTAAATCCAGTGTTGATCTAAAGTCTGCTGACTGTGTTAAAACAGCAACGAATGGACACAGAAACACATGCATACATAATCACACACACACACACACACACATATATATATATCTACCAAGAGGAAATATAGAGCTACACGGCTTTCGTTTTTTGCATAGGCTCTGAACAGAGGGAATCAAACAGCAAGCTGTTTCATTTAGCACACGGAAACTGATGGATGATGGGAAAACGTGTTCCAGTCCTCCGCTGTTCATTCAGACTGGTCCCAGAGTCTGTTTGGGGCTGGTTTGTGTTTATGAATTCTTCCGCTGATGGTTGTGGATCTTGATCCTGTGTTGATATTCAAGATTAGGCTTTGATTCCAGTCATGCAGTTCTTTTTTTTAAACTTTTTAAATTCATTAAAGGCTCATAGTGTAAATCTCATGAAATCGGTCATGAACATTTTCAGGTCATATTTCACTCAAAAAATTTAAAAAAATAATAATAATAATATACTTATGAATAATACACTTCATTAAAATATTAGTCTTCATTAAAAAAATAAGTCTATTTTAGTACTATTATAATAATTTTTTTATTATTTATATTTTGTTAATTTTCTTGCATTGCAACATTTTCATGACAACTAAGCGTTTATAAGAAAAAAATAACATTAAGGTAGAAATTATTGTATTGTTTTTTATACAAATTTTTGCAGATTTATAAATGTAAAAAAAGAATTGTATTTTTTGAACATTCCAACTCAAATTTGTATGGACATAATGGAAATTCATTTATGAACCGTATTTATACAGAATTGTAACATTTGATGTGCTACCAAGAAAAAGAAATTGCAATTTAAAAAATATTACAATAATGACAATTGACGGTGTGCAAGTTACAAACAAGCCTATTTTAGTACTGTTATTATTATTATTTAGTTATTTTCATTTTTGCAAATATTAAAATACATTACGGTAGCAAATATTGTGCTGTTTTTCATGCCAATTTTTGCTGACTTTTAAAATGTAAAAAGGTCATTGTAATTCAAAATGTAAGTTTTATTTGCCATTTTTGTACATACCATCTCAAATCTGCAAAAGCATACTGGAAAAAAATATATTACATTATTAATAAGTATCACAGCATGGTAACATCTGATGTGCTACCAAAAAAATGCAACTGCAACTAAAAATACTTTATTACAGTAATAATAATTATTGAGTAAAATAGGAATTTTGAAGAAAATGTCAATGCAAAAAAATAATCTCAATTAATTATTTAAATTTTTAATGCAAAATATCATTTATTTTTCTTTATTTTGATTCTGGAGTGAAGTGTGACCTGTTTACATGAGATTTACCCCATAAACATCACCAAACACCACTGACGGATCCTTAAAGAAATCGGTTATCTGTAGATTGTTTCTGCACACATCCGCTCAGACCTGATGACAACCCAACACATATCCAGCACCTCTGATGAGGAGAACGAATGTAACGCCACCCGCCTGATCAGAATTATTGCATTCTTTGTTCTGTACTTCAGAAAAAAAAAATTGATTAATATTATTAATCGTTCTCTGTATAAATAGCACAGATTCACTTGGAAGAGTAGGACACTCACTTAAAGAGGAAGCATGCAAACGTTTAAGAGAAAAAACACCAATTTCTCCCTTCATCCTTCATCTCAATCCTTCATCCTGAAGCACAACAACCTGCGTTTCTCCGTAAGTCTCAGTATGGCTTCATTCACCTCCGTGTGAGGGTTGCTATTGCCGGGAGGGAGGGAATTCTCTCGTATAAAAATGCAAAAAAACAAGAGAGATGGTTTCAATGATGTGAAAAATGAGGAGGCACAGTCACTGATACACAGTCCAGGGGTTAAAATGTCACTAAACCATTCATTTCCGGTGCTTTTCCGGCTTTTTACTCTTAGCCGTTCGCTTCGAGAGATCCAAGCCAGACCGAATCCCAGCCAGGTGCAACAGAGACCCGGCCGCCTCCTTCAACTCCTCGTCCAGTTCCAGTTTGGACTCATGACGGGCCCGTTTAACCGGAAGAGGGCACTTGACGGTGAGCGAGGGCAGACGAGGGTTCCTCTCCTCCTCCGAATCCTCGTCGCTATGGAAACCCTCGCTGCCGGCGCGGCGGCCCTGGCCCGAGTCACAGCCGGCCTCGTCCAGGGAGGACAGCGAGGACGAGGAAGAGCGAGACGAGCTGCTGTAGTTGTGGTCCTGCTTCGGGTCGCTGCTCACCAGGACCGAATGCGGGCGCGAGAGGTCTATGGGGCTGTCCGGGTCGCCTGAGGACCAAACCACAACACAATCAGAATTAGGGATGGGCCGGATGGGCTTAAAAACATATCACGATCATTTCCAGTATTTACTGCGATGACGATATCAATGACGATAATTCAGGGAATCTTATGCATCCACTAAGAGACAAAAAATTAGGGCTGCCCTCGACTAAAGATTTTTCTGGTCGACTAGCAGTCGTTCATTTTAAGCATTAGTCGACTAATCGCACGTTTATTAATAAACCATTTAAATCATTATAATGAGCTTTTAATTGCCTTCATGCGTTCAAGCGCACGCATAAAGCTTACACCGGCAAAACAGAAGCTAATGATTATGAATGTCAGGGAAAACAGTAAGTAGGCTGCATTAACATTTTAATAATGTATTGATAAACTGGTGCTTTCTTTGTTTTCGGCTTAAGAGATAAAGTCGGCGACACTGACTCGTCATCTCTGCACTAGTGGACACGCCTGTATGCATGTTTCGTACGGATTACATAATCTGAGAATATTTCTTTTCCATTTGAATTGGTTCAATTTGAAAGTAGACGTTTCACTCACTATAGATATATTTTTCATGTCTGTAAAGGTAAGTATACACGGAGTTTTCGCGCTCAAGTTCAGAGAGACTGAAACGGCAGAAAGCGCATGCGGTTTGCTTTCATTATTTTACAAAAGCGCAATGTTTTGTTGTTATTGTGAGTGCACAAATAAATGTGGAGTCTTTACAGATTTTAAAGATGTATTACTCTTATCTGTATGATCAAAATGAGGGCGTATTTTAAGAGTAAGTGAGTGCAGCGGCACCTCCATCTGTCCTGCAGTGAGCGCTGTTCAGCTCCACACTCCGCACACACACTTGAATAGCGCACATTTCTCTAGGTTAACATTAGATTGAGCGGCCATGTAAAGTTGCTGCTACTTACATATTTCAGATGAAAAGCCATATCTGAGGTCGATGAATGATTGGCGAGCGTTTGGGTGTCCTGACTGATGTACTATATTACCACACAGACCAGCCGTTAATGATCTGCGTGACTTTGCCAATGTGGATTTTTTTTTCTGCGACTAATCAAATTTTGGTCGACTAACGGTTAGTCGACTATCAGCAGCCCTACAAAAAATATTTTAAAAATCCTGTTTCTTTAGAGAAAAGTATTATCTTTCCTATTTTTACCCAAAATAGGGTGTCGTGAGCATTACTGAGTACACACATAATATGATGATTATTTAATTCATACTGGAAGCCGGAGGGCGCCCTTGCTCAGAAACTCCACATATGCATTGCAGAAGTAATAGCACTGACGACGCTCCAGGAAATCCCTAATATGCACAAAGGTATCCAGTTATTGCTGTAGCTGAATAAAACGCAGATAGAGAAATTTTAACTGAGGAAGCTTGAAGACAATACGATTGCGACAATATATGGTTTGTGTTCAAGCAATCTTGGGTATTTTATAAGGATGAAGTATATTTATAATGCAATGCTAATCAACACAGCCTTTATCACTGTATATAATAGTATAAAATATTATGATTTTTGCCTCATTCTGTGATATGAAACCACGACTGATCACAAAGTTATTTCAAACACTTGACTAATGTTATGAGGTTAAGTTAATTTGGAGAAAAATCATGTCAACAAATTATATCTTGGCTGGACAACAGGTTTATAAACAGGCTCATACACATGCAAACCTGTATCGCACACGTGCTACTGTAGTACATTTATTCAAGGCTCAGACTGTTTTTTTGTCGCACTGTACAACCCTAACCAAACCAGTTCCAGATTGTAGAGGAAGCTCCTCAATTTCACATCCGCCTTCCACCATGTCGCTCCGCATGATCGCACACAAAAATATGTCAACAACTAGGCTTTATCGTTATTATCGCGGGAAGACTACATCACAAACGATAAGATATCGTCCATCCCTAATAATAATTTGTGAAAATTAAGGCAAGATAGTAGGGCTGTCAAATAAAAATTCGAATTTCGAATATTCATCGAATTTAAAATAAAAATCCACATCTGAATGTAAAAACGTAGCATTCGAATATTAGGTGTGCGTTAAGCAGCCTTATCATTGGCACACAAGATGCGACGACGATGTAAGCTTTGCTGCTTTTTAATGTTTTTATTAGCCTATCCAGCTGAACCCAGTAGATGCGGCGATGCTACGCTGTTTATTTAAAATATTGTGGAAAAAGAGAACATCGATGCGGAGATGATGTTGTTTACGTCAAAAAAGAAACCAAGCCGTTCACACAGAACGCATATTTTGCGCATCATCTATCACCATTGCACTTGCGTCTCGCACAAGAGAGCCACATGTTTAGAAAGACATGTAAAATTAATGTAACTTTAAAATTGTAAATTTAATGTAACTTAATGTAACTTTATGGCGGGTTTTTTCCCATCCCAATAAATCTCGTGTTTTTAAATGAAAAAAGTCTTCTGTGTGATTGGCTTTCATCCCTTTGTATCAAACTATGCATACATGATGCTGTTCTGCAACTTAATTAATGTTCCTGTGGCTCAGTGGTAGAGCATTGCGTTAGCAGCGCAAAAGGTCGTGGGTTCGATTCCCAGGGAACACACATACTGGTAAAAAATGTATAGCCTGAATGCACTGTAAGTCGCTTTGGATAAAAACGTCTGCTAAATGCATAAATTATTATTAGTAAATTATTATTAATTATATTTGGTTTATAAGCATTATGCATTTTTTCACAAATAGTCATGTTATTTTATTGTTTTAATAAACGTGCATTAGTAATATTTTGCTTGATGTGCCCTCTTGTGGCCTCAGGAGAGAAGCCAAAAGCTTTTTTCCCCCTAACTGAAATTATGCCTTTTAAATTAGAATATTATTCGATATTGATAATATTTAAGTGCAAAATTCAAATAGAGTTTTTCAGCCATTTTGACAGCCCTACAAGATAGTAAACCCTTTTTTTCCATGCACTAGTCAGTTTTGAGATTTTGAACTATTTGGCTTTTCATAATGTGTTCTTTTAGACTAGTGGGAAGAATACATCCAAAATACACGTTTAAATGTTTATTTTATTGCACTTTATCTATTTGTGTCTGTAGATTTCAGTTATAATGCATATTTTTAAAGGCTGTTTTCTCAGAATATTTTTTTTCTCATGCACTTCAACAGCATTTACATACACCAAACTTTATAGATTTTTACAGAGCATATATATATATATATTTCCCTGATTTTTTTACACCATTTCATTCATAAAAACAAGGTGAAAATTTATTTTTTGCTAGTTGTTAACAGTTATGGAGTGATAAAAAGAAAAATCCAAAATCCCCTTTAAAAACCGTCAACAAAATGAAACAAGATTTTTAAACCAATGTTAATTTTTCTGTACTGGAAATGTATGAAAATTAATGCATATTTAATTAGATTATGCATTATTTGCATATTTAAACATAACATTTCAGAAATCTTGTACTTAAAAAATATTTAGCATTTTTTTCGAATTAATTTGCATTTTTTGTATTACATTTTTGTAATTAATCAAACAACCAACATACATAAATATTACAAATATTGTATAGCTAATATTTGACACACACACACACACACAAACATATGCATTGTGTGTGTGTGTGTGTGTGAAATATTAGAAATAGTATTATTACAGTAATATTTATAATATAGTAATAATAATAGTATAATATTTTTATAAGTTAAAAATAAAGTTAAACAAAGTATTTAAAAGTTAAAAATTAGGTATGGTGATATCTAATTAAATTATTTTTTTACTCTATTTACCAGAGTGTCTTGACTTTTTTTTTTAATATCTCTATTTAATCTCTATTTAAAATAAAATTAAAAAAACATTTTCACCATGTTTTTAGGAATAAAATGTATAAAATCAGGCAAATGTTATATGAAGAAACCCCTCTGTAAAAATCTTCAAAATGGAGATTTCTGAAAGTGATAAAATAAATACTTAAAATATGTATTTTGCATGTTTTCTTTCCACTAGTCTGAAACAACACATTATGAAAAGCCAAATGGGCCAAAATCGCAAAATTGACCAGTGCATGAAAAAACAATGTTTTGTAGTGTCTTTCTATTCTATGGCTCTAAAGGATTTTGGGACATTGTCTTGACAGGTTTCATGAGGTTTAGCCAGTTATACAATTTTTCATGTAAATTTTCCATCTCTGAAGTGTCAATCTGTAAACTGCCATTATGAATCGCGTCATCAAGTACATTTATCTGCCGTCTTAATGAAGCACTCTTATGATGGTTTATTCTGCTACGGGTGATTAAGGCTCATTAGAGGTAGTGAACACTACAGTGACATGCTTAACGAGGATAAAGACGTGTAAAGGAAGTGCAATGCTGCACTAATTACCAGCAAGAGCTTTTAGTTGCTACACAGACATATTTTCAAAACCATCTCCATAAATAATGATGCAAATGTGCCTTTCTGCATGAACCTGAACTAAACAGACTCATCCGCTGCACGAGGCGACACTCGGTGTAACATCAGTCTCACATATATAGATTTCAGACTTGCCAGCATCAACATTATAGAGCAGTGGTTCTCAACCTTTTTTTCCACTGGGCCGCACTATGGTCCAAGTGCAAGTCTCACGGGCCGCACGCGTATCATTTACATATTACGTTACCAATACAAACCAACCAGAACACAATGAAGTTGCGATTGTAAGACGCAGTCTGTAAGACGCGCACGGAAGCGTGACTTGACGCGCGACACTGCAGAAAATGTGCGTTCACAAATGTAGCCTATGTTGATCCAAATATGGAAAGCACTTTCAAATTTAATAATCTGAGGTTCTCTCCAGAGATGTTTTGCCACATTTCTGCAATTAAGACCGTGCTACCGCGTCTGTCAAGAGCGGCTCGACGGTATTTTGTGTCCCGCAGCAGCAGCAGCATGCGTGCCGTCAGCGCAGCTGAAGAGATCTGCGTTCAAATGCACGCAATAGGCTAAAGCTTGCCGCAAAGCACCGGCAAAAGTAACTACCATGAATG